CTTTAATTTACAGAAGCTGCACTTCTCTCCTTTGGTCCAAGTATTTATATTTGGTATAATATCTGTGGTTTTCATTAAAGGCAACAGCAAAGTTTAAAACAGCATTACCAATATCTTCTACCAAAGAGAAGAGCAAGAGCTGCTAATTTAACTGCACGTAGAAAAACTTTATAACATTTGGAATCACATTTAGATATTCCTCTTTGGTTGTATTCTTGGAAAAGTGCTCAGCAGGCAGCAAGTCTACTCAGTCCTCTGTCCTCATGGGCTGTCTCAGATAAGTATATGGAAATAGCTTGGGAAGGAATACGTTCTCTGTCTGTACATGTGTTAACTACATGTATTACTACACACTGCTTGCTTTCTAGCTGAGGTTTTAAAATGCTTTGCATTATTTCTAGAAGGAATGTATAGACTATCATCTGAAACAGATATCTTTTAAAATAAAATTCTATTGATAATTATCTTGGGAAAATAGGCATACTCTGGACTGTTCCAGGCATGTAGGTTATGACTGCCCAATTTATAGCCTCAAATATTTACCCAAATTTTAATATTTTTATACAAAGGAAACACAGAAGTATAAGCCTTTGACATATAGTTGTGGTATGCCTAATAACCACCAATGGGAAATGAAATGAAATTAACTGAATGAAATTAACCTTATTATTTGCAATGACTCATCAACCACACAAAGCAACTAGTGAAAAAGTTCACCAAAGTCTAGAATGTGGCCATTGAGCACTTGAAATGTGGCCAGTGAGAAACTAAATATTTTATTTTAGTTAAATTAATTTTAATATGAAAGCTAAAGCAGTGTAAAATATTTTTCTGTTAAATACAACTTTAAATTTGTATAAGATTTTCTGTATTGTTAATCCCAATTCAAGATTGTCTTGAAACAAAAGCAATACTTGTCAAATATCCTATAACTGAAAACAAGAAAATGGCAGGATGGCATGTTTTTTCATACATATCATGCTGAATGGAAAAGCTCATTTATTACCTTAATAAACAGCTACTAGACTTTACGTTGAAATGAAAACTTTCCATAATGCAATTCAATAATAATGATGTACACATTTTTCTAACATGAATCAATATGCAGATTTTAATTCTAAACAGCAGCATTTATATAAATTGGCTACAAAACTACAAGAAAAATAGTTGATATTAATAAATTGAGTTGCTTTGCAACTCAAACTTGAATTTGATATTAATAATTTTAAGTTGACATGAGCTATTTAAATATACTTAACTTGAAGAAATAGAGTTTTTAAGTTGATACATTTTTACTTCAAAGTCTAATCAATTTTTCTAAAAAAGATAAATAATTTTGTCATAGTACATGCAAATATAAGACAAAATGATTTATTGATAGTCAATTCAGTTACTGAAACTTTTAAATACGTTTCAAACAATTTAGGTATGTGAAACTACTGTTGTAGATGTAAATTTTATGAAATCCAAAAACACCTCAAGCGTGTCTAATACAAATTTAGCTCCAGAATTAAGATCTTTTATACATGTAAAATACACTCTGGATTTTGAAGGTTTACCAAAAAAGATAATGTAAACTATCTCAACAATAATTTTTCTAATATTTACATGTTGAAATAATAATTTGGATAAAATGGTTTACTATTTATTAAGTTCATGCAAGATATCATAGAAGTAATCACCACTACTAGATTAAAATATTACCTTGGCCTGTAAACCTTGTACCTAATGGAGCAGGTAATCATTATTACTTCACTTTAAGTTACTTGCCATAATTTTCCATCCATGCTGTCTACCTGGTGAGATACTATTCCATGGAGCAAATCACTGGTGCTTTGCTCTGCTGAGAGGCAAACTTTCATAAGGCAGTCAAAGATGAAAGTGAGTAAAAAAGTGCAGTTTTGTACCATAGCATTAAAACTGGAGGTTGCCAGAACTTTAAATAATGATTTTTAAAAGCTGTCACCCATTTAGCAAAAGTACTTAAACAAAATATGAAGATATCAAATATCTGTAATATTAAATAGAATTTCCTAAAAGATGACTTGAGAATTATGTTTCTTTAACTTCTGCCATTAAAATGATTAGTTTGACTCTAGGTACAACACACAACAATGAAAAGTATTATATCATACCTCTCTGCTTTTGTTGATTTTAAGTGTCCAATGTATGTGTCTTCAAAGTAGTCAATCATATATTGTGTTTCTTTTAGCAAAAGTTGCTAAGCAGAGTCATAGGAAAGCTAAGAAAAAGCATATTATACTAAACAACAAAATAGAGAGAACATTTAGCTCAAGACAATATTAAATTCAGCTTCCTATTTTTTTCAAGCCTCTTTCCCATACATTAATCCAAATACATTCACATCTTGACAAAAATGAGAAAACCACTACAGAAGTTGTCAGTGATAGTTTCCCGCTAGTGTCCATTAAAAAGCAATTAAAATTAAGATATGAAACTTCCCTAAAAGTCTGAAGTAGATTTATTTTTCTGTCTGGCAGTTATTGTAATAACAGTAACAAGTAGTGACTATGCAGTCTATAATGACTTAAAGGAGTTCAAATATAGAATCAACAGTCTTAAAAGTATTGTTAGGTCTCAAAAGAAGACATTTGCGTGGCCAACGAACATACGAAAAAAAGCTCAACGTCACTGATCATTATCCAACTGAATTACCATATGGCCTATCTTGATTTAAGTATTATCCTCAAAAGTCTTGTATATCTTCTAGCGAACAGATAGTGAACTCTCATAGTCTCTGAGAATTCTAAATTTGATTCTAGTTGCCAGGGAAACTGTATTGAATATGACAAAATTTCTATCCTCTTGGTGCTTAAATTCTAGTAGAAGAAAAACAATAAATAATAAATAAGTAAACGGGTAAAGAAGTGAGATTACTTCTAAAAGGGATTGAGATGAAGAAAATAAAGCATTCATTTTTCCGTCATGTAATGGAATAGGGAGTCACTGGGTGGCTATTTCAGGTCAAGTGGTTAGAGAAGACCTCTTTTAGGTGACTTTTAAGCTGATTTGAATGAAGTCATTCAAGGAGTCAGCCTTGAAAATATCAGGAATAGGAAAAAAGTCAAGGGAAAAGGTCATGGTGATTAGGAAAAATAAATATTAGACATGGGGACTGTCTCACCTATCTTGCAATCCTAATTTTCTCTAGGTCATCTAGTCATTCTTACCTTTCCAGAAAGCTGTACTACTGCTAAGTAGTCAACCAAGGACCCATTACTCGCTTAACTGTGAAATCAGGTGTAACCCATTCTGGAGGTTGAGGCGTAATGAGAAATTGCAAACCGCTATGGCTACTTCCATTTGATGACCATAGCAATCCAAAATTCTGGATAACTGTTTTTGAAAGAGCATATGATCATGGGGAGAAAGCAAAAAGACAGTGATGTATTAATGAGAATTCACAACTACAGGAGATGCAAGTCAAAAAGGATGCTGTATATACAGAGAACAGCGTAAGGTTTTCTTCTGCCATAGATAAGTGGAAAATCTGAGGATGTGTTCAAGGAAAAGAAAGAAATTCAGTTTAGCCATAGCGCAGAACAAATGAAGGTACAAAAGTAAGTGATAACTGTAGGATGAGAATAATATATTGAATATTTTTTATGCCAAGTTAATGCAGTGGAACTTAATTCTGTATGAAACTGAGAGCTACAGAAAGTTTTTGAGGATGGTAATGACTTCTAGAAGCTGGGTGCAGAACTGGGAAGTAGGAAGACTAGTTAGAAAGCTACAGTAGTAATTCAAGTAAGAACTGATGGCTTGACTGGTCTGATGGTAGTGGGTTATCAGAATTTATTAACATTAGTGTCACTAAAGTTAGTATACAGCCCTCCACTGCTAAATTTGACTGGCTTAAAAAAAAAAACAGAAAAAACCTGATGGCTTGAACTGAAGTAGTGAATTCATTTTTTGGCAATTACTCTTTGAAATGTTAAATGTTCACAGTGGGCAGAGTGCAGTGAAGAAGAAGTTCTGACTTGACCATATTCTGTTCACTGTTTTCCACCATTGCTGGTGGAAATGGAATTTGAGTAACTTTTCTGTTGTACAATCTGATGTGACTGGATGATTCAAGAGACAATAGAGAAATGGTCAAAAAGACCTGAGGACTGATAGGTATCAAGGATGAGAAAAAAGCACTATTGAAGATAATTATGAAGTTTCAAGTCTCGTTGTCCATGATGATCAAATTATTAATAGAAATGAGGAAGCTGGAAAGGATGGAAAAGAGCAGGAGAGCAGACTCAGAAGACCATGAAGGCCTGCCCTTGCTTCACCATTGAGATGATAGGTAACCTTGGGCAAACTCACTTGAACTTATTGTTTGTATTAACATGTATAAAATGGTGCAGAGGGCAGTTGAAATAGATTACTGCAAATGTCCTTTCCAGATTGACGATTTTGAGATTTTAGGGCTATGGCTGTGATCACATTAAGCTTTTAATTTCAGAGAAATCTGAACTTTTAATTTCCGAAAAATTATAAACTTGAATGTATAATTGTACACTATTTTTGCAAGATAAATGTTGCTTTAAACTGCATATTTTTAAGGCTTTTGACACAGTATCAGACTGTATTATGAAAATTTAGTCTGGAACACTTCCATCAGTAATATACCATTGTGTATTTTGCTGTACCCCTGAAAATAGACATTTTTACATTTACAAAAGTAATTCCTAACCTGGGGGACATAGCAAAACCTTATCTCTACATAAAGTACACACACACACACACACACACAATTAGCCAGGCGTGGTGGTGGGCACCTGTAGTCCCAGCTACTCAGGTGGCTGAGGCAGGAGAATCGCTTGAGCCTAAGAGGTCAAGGCTGCAGTGAGCCCTGATCATGCCACTGCACTCTTGCCTGGGTGACACAAGACGCTGTCTCAAGAAAGAAAAAACAAAAAACTCAACAAATGAAAAATAGTACCACATTTTAATTTGTATTTGAATATAAAAAATTAAACACATGCTTATTGGACTTATGTATTTCTTTTTATTCAAGAACTCTATCCAATATATACACATTTTCCTTTTGGCTTTTGTCATTTGTGTATTTAAGACTTTGAATAATGTTTTTAAATATTAACTTTAATCTTTCATACACCTTTCAGAAATTTACTATTCGTATTTTGTTTTGTGTATTTTGTAACACACAAGTTGTAAATGATTATGTATTGTTTTTCTGTTCAGTTCCATCTTTCATTTTTATGCTTAACAATGTCTTCTTAGTCATATATGCCCGCCTACATTTTCTTCTAGTTCTTTCATTAGATGTATCTAGTATTAATTCATCACCCATTTCATGCATGGTATTTTTTTTTCATGATGGGGACATGAAATAAATATTCTGATTTTTAAATGTTTCCATTATAATTGGCTACCATTGTCAATTTTCTTATTGATTCTGATACTTGTTCAGTTTCTTAGTTTTCCAGGTAATAATTTATCTGCAAGTCAGTGTAACTTAATTATTTATTTTTTAATAGCTCAGTATTCTCATTGCCTTTTGTTGTTTCATTGAGAACTTCCAGTACAATGTTAGGAGGGGGAAAAAAACAACGGGAATGGCACCAATCCTTCTCTTGTTCATCTTTATATTCCTTAGAACATATGGAATGCGTTCTGACATAGAACTTATTAAAGAGTAATTTGGAATTTTCTGATGAATCAACCGTTGTCTTTAATCTTCACAAGTTTGAAAGGTATACGTTACTGTTCCCATTTCCCAGATGGAGAAATTGAGGTTCAGGAAGGTTACACAAAGTCCCGGGTCTAAGAAAAATGTCTCCCAGATTCCAAAAGATGTGTCTATTTTGCTAATAGTGGCCATTCAAGCATTAGGGGAAAGGTTGCCCGTGGTATCGCTGGTGTTTCTTCTTCCCACTTTCAAATCTAGAATAGTAAAATAGCAAAAATCCCAACGGGCATGAGAGTTATCATAGTAGATAGGGTAGGTTGGTTCTCTGCTGTGGTCAACGTCAGCTCTGTGGCGAGGCGGGTTCTCCCAACAATAGTCCACACCATTTCCAGGCTTTTCTCGGCGACGGGCAGCCCGGAGTGCGGAACTTCTCTGGATGCGCCCGGCCCCCAAAGCGAGGAGACAAGACAGCCCCGATTCTCCGCAGCCCCAGGTTTACTCGTCAAGGACCGAGGGGCCTCTCAGCTCCGACCGCCTCCTCTCCGCCCCCTGCAGGCCGGCCGGAGGGACAGCTCAGGGCCCAGGTCGGTGAAGGGAGCACGGAACCAAAGAGCGCTAGCGCCGGTCCGGCCATCTTTCCACAAAGCCCAGGCCGGTCCGCCCCGCCGCGGAGACTCAGCACGGATCGCGGCTCCCTACCGCCATGGCGCGGGTGCTGATCGTGGGCGCCGGGGTGACAGGAAGCTTGTGTGCTGCGCTGCTGAGGAGGCAGACGTCCCGTCCCTTGTACCTTGCTGTGTGGGACAAGGCTGAGGACTCAGGTGAGTTGTCTAAACGCCGAAACCTGGGAAAAGAGGCCAGCCGGCCGGCCTGCGGAGGTGGTGTGGGCCTGCATCCGAGAAAGTCTAAGGCGACAACGCTAGATGCTCAGCTCCCTGAGAGGCGGTGTAGCCCGGCCCATGCGCTCAGCTGCGCGCCTCGTCACGTGATGGGGGACTTCCGCCGCCCGGGAAAAGGCCCAAGAAGGGGCGAGGGTGGGGGCGGGGCAGGAGTACTCCGCGCTCTGCAGAGGGAGACCTGAGAGAGCGGCGTGGGAGGGGCCCGGACCCGAGTTTGCAAAGCTTGGGCCTACTGCTGTCCCTAATAAATAGATTTTTGCGTTGGTCTGTCTGTTGGCTTTGCAGCTTTCTGCAGATTATGAGACTCCCAAAGTGATCACAGACCAAGACTTTCTGAAGATCTAGTTTGCAGAATCCTGTCATTCTGATGACGATTGACTGCATGAATGAAAGAGCATTAGCTGACTCATTTATTCTGACATTTCATTCATCATTTTTAGTTTTATCCATTCGCTGACTCCTATTACTAAATATGTGCACTATAATGGTGCTGGAGACTGTTACATTGTTCATGACTCCTTTTCTTCTAAAATCTCACAATCTATCAAATACTTCAAGTTAAAAGAGTTTCTTAAGATATTTTTGAAGTAATCTGTTTGGGGTAACCTAAGGTGCATTGAATTAATTGCTAAGGCTCATTCTAATGCAGTAAGACATTTTCCTGTGGATTAATTCAAGGTGGAAGAATGACTACAACCAGCAGTCCTCATAATCCTCAGTGCACAGCTGACTTGGGTGCTCAGTACATCACCTGCACTCCTCATTATGCCAAAAAGCACCAACGGTGAGTTAGTTGCGAGAAGTGGAATCAATCTTAGCAGTTGTATGATGTCATAGGGTTGTTGTGAAGGTTAGATTAGCTGATAAATGGAACACAGTAAGGGCTCAATAAATATCAATTACTATGTTGGTGTTATGGAAGAAGGCAACTAGCTGTGATGGGAGTCAATCTTCTGAACCAAATTTAAAATTGATATACTAAATAAATTTGTTTGCTTTCACTAACTTTACTTCAAAAACGTACTTACAGAGAAATAGGCCTTTGACTAATGTCAGCAAAAGACCTATGGATTCTCAAAACATTTCTCTTCTTCACCTGTATTATAAGTTTTAACACAAAACATACATTTTATGTAATACAAAATATTCATAGGAAGATATCTATGATTTTGAATTATAACCTCTGAGAATTATTGAAAGAAAATATAGTCTTTTAGAGGTATTCATGGTATATAATTACATTAAATATACATATTGATTTATTTCAGTTTTTATGATGAACTGTTAGCCCATGGCATTTTGAGGCCTCTAACCTCGCCTATTGAAGGAATGGTGATGAAAGAAGGAGACTGCAACTTTGTGGCACCTCAAGGAATTTCTTCAATTATTAAGCATTACTTGAAAGAATCAGGTAGGAGTAAGATTTTCTCTGCCTAAATTTTGAAATTAGCATTTAAAAACAAGTTACACACATAGTTACATATTAATACTACACAGGAAGTTATAAAAATTAGGTGCTCTATTTGCTGATCAATAGCTAGTCCTTCCCCAAAGTAATCATTGATAAGTTTCCAGTGTATATTTCCAGAACAATGTTTATGCATCTCTCTATTGAGCTACATGGCTGTCTCTATTTATCTATAATATAGATATTACAGATGCGTGTATATATACACATATATATTTCTTTATATTCTTTTAAAAATATACTCAAAGGGGATAATTTTACATAAATGATTCTATACCTTGTTTGACTCATATCTTGGATCTATTTTCATATCAGCAAATTTAGTGTAATCCATTTTCTTTAATGATTGTCTAGTATTTATGACATATGTGTATCATCATTTATTTAACTATTAGCTTTCTGGTAAATATTTAGGCTGTATGGGGTTGGAAGATTGTTTTGGTTTTTGCTAATACAAGCATTGCTGCATGTCTACTGTTGACATGCTTTTGGAAGCATACCTTTATTTAGGATCAGTTCCTCACAGAAGAATAGCTATGCCAAACGATATGTGTTTTTAACTTAGCTAGGTTGTGCTGTGTATTCATCTTAGAGAACATCTCACCAATAGTGATGAGAATGTTTCTTTCCCCACATCTGGATATAATGGAAATTTTTAATTTTTGCCAGTGTAATAGGTTAAAAATTGGATCTCTTTGTGGTTTTATTTTGCATTTCTTTAATTACAAGTGAGTTTATGCATTTTTTTTGTTTTGTTAGCCAGCTCTTTGCAGTTTTCTTCTGTGAATATCTTATTCATAACCTTTGCCCATTTTCTATTAGGATTTTCATTTGTTCCTTATATGTTTTATGAGTGTTTTGAAAATGGACCTTTTAAAAAAGAAAATAGAATTTTTCTTAGATAATTGATGATTTTTTTTAAAAACAGAATGAAGCTTCTTGATGAATCATAATTTAGTTAAGTACCGGAGTCAAGATAACTGAGAAAGGATGTAGGCTAAGAATTTTTTTATAAGCCATTTCCAGCATAATTACTGTTTTGGTCTTTATCATCAAATATTGCTTATTGAGAACCTCAAGAATCCTTGATACTGGGCATCAGAGAGGTTAGTGAGATTGAATAAACAACATGAGAACATAATAAATACCATTCTGGCTTAAACTATTTCTCCATTTGAGATTCAGTATATGATGGTTTATTAGACTACTCCAGAGAAACAGAACCAATAGGGTATATATGTATATGTGTGTGTGCATGTGTGTGTGTATATGTGTATGGAAAAAGAGAGAGATTTATTATAAGGAACTGGCTCACATAATTAACAGAGGCTGGCAAGGCCCAAGATTTGCAGGATGATTCAGCAAGGTAGACACCCAGGAAAGCTAGTGGTATATTTCTAGTCCAAGGGCTGGCAGGCTCAAGACTCAGGAAGAGCCAGTGTTTCAGTTCTACTCTGAAGGCTGGAAAAAAGCTGATGAGCCAGTTCAAAGGCTTTCAGGCAGGAAGAATTCTCCTTTATGTGAAGGAGGATCAATGCATTTGTCCTATTTAGGCCTTCAATTGATTGAATGAGGCCCACCTACATTAGGGAGGGCAATCTGCATTATTTGATCTACTGATAATAAATGTGAATCTCGTCTAAAAACATGCTCATAGAAACACCCAGAATAATGTTTGACCAAATATGTAGGCACCCTATGGCCAAGTCAAGTTGACACATAAAATTGACCATCACAGATGGTGACACTATTGAATGTTTTATAGAATGTTACTATCAGCTTTATATAGTGTGGCCATATCACTTTAAAAAATCTTGTTTCCACCATGATTTTCCCTTGACCCAGGTTGGGTGAGTATACTTATTGAAATCATCAGGTACTTACTATCCAATATTCATGCATGCATGTGCAGGAGCTTAGAAAATGATATCCCAAAATGAAGCCCTCAGAAGTTGCTCTCTTTGACCTTCTCCTGCCCTCCTTTCTCTGGCCTTGCATTCATCTCTGAGGCTAGCCCTAGAAAATAGAATCTCTTTTCCCAAGGCAGGTCATAGAAATAAGAACTCCCTTTCCCCCGCAAACCAGCCATAAAGCCTAAGACTATCATTGTAGCTTTCCCCTGCCTTCCTTTGTAAAAACTGGTCATAAAGAATTATCTGACCTACCATGTTTGATTGTAGCTCATAACAGTTCCAGAGAGGGTCATGACCCATAACCATAAAGAAAGAATGCTGCATAGAGAGGTCAAGAAGAATCTAGACAGACAGACCTTGATGGGTTTCACCAGTTTGTTAGCCATAGATATAACCCTTTGTCGAATCATACTACTGCACAGCTGTCCATACTTTGTTGAATCTAAGCAAAAAAAAGTTGACTCCTGTATCTTTGGGTCTTCAGTCTGAAGGTTTCAGTGTGCCAAGACCAGCTCGGTTGGGGAGACCCTAACAAGCAGCGCTAGAGGAATTAAAGATGCACACACAGAAATACGGAAGTGTGAAGTGGGAAATCAGGGGTCTCCCAGCCTTCAGAGCTGAGAGCCCCAAACAGAGATTTACTCACATGTTTATTAACAGCAAACCAGTCATTAGCATTGTTTCTATAGGTATTAAAATAGCTAAAAGTATATCCCTTATGGGAAACGGAGGGATGGGCCGAATTAAAGGAATAGGTTGGGCTAGTTAACTGCAGCAGGAACATGCCTTTAAGGCATAAATCACTCATGCTATTGTTTGTGGCTTAAGAATGCACTAGAACTTAAAGTATAATAAAATAAATAAATGAATAAAACCTCACCAAAAACAAAAAAAAAGAAAGGAATACCTTTAAGCAGTTTCCTGCCCTGGGCGGGCCAGGTGTTCCTTGCCTTCATTCTCGTAAACCCACAACCTCCCAGCTTGGGCATTAGGGCCATTATGAACATGTTACAGTGCTGCAGAGATTTTGTTTATGGCCAGTTTTGGGGCCAGTTTATGGCCAGATTTTGGGGGGCTTGCTCCCACCACAGTGTCATGAAAAACTACGATTAAATAAATTTGTATGCTTTTTCTCATATTAATATGCCTTTTTTCAGTCGATTTTTATTGAACTTTCACCCCTACACATGCATACATACATACATACATACATATATCCTTTTCTTCAATAAACATATATTGAATACTTACTATAATGCCAAACATTGTTCTAGGTACTAATGATGCAAGAACCAATGTCCTTGCCTTCATGGAGTTGATGTCCTGGCAGAGAAACATCCTTAAATACATTGCGTCTGTCTCCTTATTTTATTAGGTGTTTGGGAGAATACATATGTTTTAACTTCCAATTTTGCTTTTTAAGCTTTTGAGGAAGAGATTATTTTTAATTCCTTGTAGCTCACTCAGAGCCTAATAGTACCTTGTACCTAGTAGGTAGAGTGATATAAATGTTAAAAATTTATTTTACATTGAGTTCATGGTCTATTTAACTTGAGTTTATATAAATTTTTCTTTCGTTTTTTAATGTTATTTTTGTAATACTTCAAGATTCTTTTTCTCTTCTACCCCAATCTATTATTATAGGATTTGTTGGACTACCTATAATATTTTTAATTTTATAATTATATCACTTTTAAACATTCTTTAAGTCCATTTAAAGCTTTCTATTCTATAAATGGTCCACAAAAACATTTGGTTTGTCCACACAGTAAGCTAAGACAGTCCCTGATATCAGAATGACCTGGATTCCAGTTAATGTCCTACCATCACTTTCTGTCCATGTAATATTAGGAGAGTTTAAAATCTGTACCTCAGTTCTTTCACTGAAAAAAATGAGGGTAATGAAATGAAAAAAATAGGGTACTTACTACAGAATGTTGTAATGGAATGGAAGTTCTTACTACAAAGTGTTGTGAGGAATTAATGATATAATGCACTCAAATTCAAGCAACTAGTAAGCCAGTCACATAGTAATCTCTTGATAAATGTTAGTTTAAAAAATATTCTACTTGAATGAAGCTGACCTTCACATATTCCTCACTTTAAGACATCAAATTGCCAACTATTTTCAAAAATACTCTATATTTTGGAATCTAGTTGAGTTTAAAACTCCACAATCTAATGGACCAACTAGTGGTCATTCAGATTGGGACCAGACTCCCGGGGAAATTATTTGTCTGGGATATGCCTAATCAGGCATGCTTTAGAATAGGTTCAAACCTTTAAAGCCAATATTTAACTAGACCAACTTCCCAGAACAAACAGTAAAGGGTAAGGGAAATAGATACTTTATTCTTTTTTTTTTTTTTTTTTTGAGACGGAGTCTCGCGCTGTCACCCAGGCTGGAGTGCAGTGGCCAGATCTCAGCTCACTGCAAGCTCCGCCTCCCGGGCTTACGCCATTCTCCTGCCTCAGCCTCCCGAGTAGCTGGGACTATAGGCGCCCGCCACCTCGCCCGGCTAAGTTTTTGTATTTTTAGTAGAGACGGGGTTTCACTGTGTTAGCCAGGATGGTCTCGATCTCCTGACCTCGTGATCTGCCCGTCTCGGCCTCCCAAAGTGCTGGGATTACAGGCTTGAGCCACCGCGCCCGGCCAATACTTTATTCTTGACCTTATGTTCTATTTTAATTTGTTGTCTGATGTGTTCACATTAACCTCATTGCAGATAAAACTGTATTTATTGGCATGAGTTTCACTGACTACCTGCCTTCTCCATTAATACAATCTTCTTGAGTGAGTGAAACATGATTTTCTTTTTCTTTTTCTTTTTCTTTTTCTTTTGTTTTATAATAGTTGTCATTATGCTGGGGTGAGAAATGACAATAGCAAAAGTGATTCTAGCTATCAGTTATTAAGTGCTAACTATTTATTTGACACTACCTTAGGTACTTTACGTATGTAATTTCTAATTCTCATAGTAAATTTTCAAGGAAGTTAATCATCATCCCTATTTATTAATGCAGAGAATAAGACTCAGGTACTTTGTCTAAGGTGGCTTGGCTAGTTGGTAACAGAACCGGAGCGCCCTTGCAATTAATCATGTTGTTTTTTTCTATTAAGTCTCTCATGGAGGGCAATGAGAGGTGCTCATACTCTCCAATTTAACATCTATTTTGTAGAGCTTTCTCTTTCCTTACTGATTATTTTCCTACAGTAGAAAGATTGTACCCATTGCTCCTGGTGCTACGTGTCAGTAGACACATGGTTCAATAGAACAACCTCATAGTTCCCTGTGCCCCTAGTTTCCTTCTTTGATCAGTTAATTCCTGACATAGGGGGAAGTGGATATTAAAAAGTAATACCACCTTAGTTCTTTGTGCAACCTGGAAAATTGGTCACCTGATGGTTCCTGCATATGACATTTGGAAAATGATGGACCAGGTCCTTTTGCTTTTGAATAAGGTCCCATGTTATTAAGTTATTCATAAAAAGATGAATTTAACCTCCAGGACACAGAGTGAGAAGCTTTTATTTAGCTTTTGCTACCAACAGGGAGGACTGTTGCTGCATTTATTTGTTTTTATTTTATCATCTACCTAAAAAGGACATTGGCTAGCGATCTGGAAAGTCAACATGTGCAATGTAACCTGTCAAAGTAGACAGGATCAATTTATTAGAAAAAATGGTTTAGGTGGCAGATGCCATTAGCTAGGATGGCTTCTGTATGGTAATATTTACTTTTATTATTCTCTCTCTTTTTATTTTTGTGCCTATTTTCTTTCTAAAATTGATAGAGGGGAAGTGAGTCTGGGTGGTTCTGTCTCAGAATTTCTCCCAGCGGGTGATCTTGGCACTCATCCGTAACAATGTCCTTTTTAGAGAAGCTAGAGGATGGCATGAAAACCAGGTTAAGCGTTCTTCTATTTACTTCAAGCTGTGTAGTCAGTTAGACATGGTTCACATCACTTCAGGTCCCATCTGAGCAGTTCTGACTGCTGCTCACTAAAACCTATTTGTGGGAAATCATAGGAGAAACATAAACTTGGATTTTCTCCTTAAAACGGAGGAGGGCCAGGGATAAAATTGAATAAGTATATAACAGAAACACATTTGCCTTTGTAAAATGTTTAAACCTTCTTAGACTTCTGATATCTTTATAGCTATCTGAAGATCATTTTATTCTAATTAAATATTATATGCTGGGGAAACAAGAGTCAATAAGAGACATGATCCTGGCCTCTGTTAATGTAGAGTATAGTGGGAAGAAAATACATTAAACTAATTATACAAACAAAGAAAAGATGCATGATAAATGTTAAGAAGAAAGAGAGCATTATGAGAGAGCTTACAATAAAAGGACATAGCCCAGCAGGTTATAGAGGAGTGATGGGGGAGATGTGTTAGGGAAAGCATCCCTAAAGAACTGATATTTTCATGGGTACCTGAAAGGTGAGCAAGAGGGAATTAGGCTGAGAGCTGAATGACGAGAGTTCCATGCAGTGGGCACATCAAATTGGAACTGTTCTGAAGTAGTAGGAGGAGGTTAGTGCATTCAAGAATAAAAGGTCATTGTGACTGGAAGGTAGTGAGTGAGGGAGAAAGTGGTAAAAGATGATGCCGAAGACTAAGGCAGGGCCAGATTATACGGGGTTTTGTAAGCATTGTTAAAGATTTTATACTCTAAGTGCAATGGGAAGCCGTTGAAGGGTTTTGTGCAAGGGAGGGACATGGTCAAATTTACTAAGCTCAGAAGTCACTCTTGAGACAATCTGTCTGTTTTAAAATTGAGTTTTCCAGAACTTATAGATTTAAACACATCATCTTTATGAAAGTTATTAATTACTTTCACAAGGAAATGCCACTTTCCCAAAAATTTTGCTCTGAGCAGTTGGAAAGGAAACGTTTCTGGTTAATAAGAGAGGCTATACTATTTCCTCTACCTCTTGATAAATGCTACTTTTTGGGCAGTTTTGCCAGTGGTGTTTGATTTGGGCCTATCCACCTACCCCAGTGGTTCTCATACTTTAGTGCGCATGATGACAAGACTAAGGGAACTTGTTAAACACAGATTGCTAGGCTTAATTCCTAGAGTTTCTTATTCTGTATGGTTGGGTTGGGGCCCAGGAATGTGCATTTTCTAGTACATAGGTGCTGCTGGTCTGGGGTCCGTACTTAGAGAACCACTGACATACACACACACACACACACACACACACACACACACACACACACATATATATATATACCTATACCTTGCAGAACACCTTGTGACCTTTGGGATACATTTTCAAGGCATTCATCTGGGGCATGAAGAATTTTCTAGGACTGTGAACTTAAGTCCCCTTAAACACACACTCATGCCAGCAACAACAACAGCATATTGTTCTTTTCAAAGGAATATTATGAGAAAACATAGAATCAGTTGACTTAGCTGAGGTCTGGGACAGGGCCACGAACTAAATGAGGCAAGTAGGGTGAGACATCCTAAATAAATAAAAACAGAGTGAAGCAGAGCTACCCTTGTTGGAATAAAGGAGATGGTGGATATTTGTTGAAAGTGCAGATTATTTGCACCTTCCCCAAGCAGGGGCCTTAGAAAAGCCCTCAGGCAAGATGGAGTACTGTTTACAAGCCCCTTGCTCTAATCTTTGAACAGAATGATGCACAATGCCTTGAACAGAGATTGATCCCTTGGGCTAGCTAGAACTATGTTTCTTCTAACATTTACATTTGATTTTTTAAAAATTGGAGTGCTTACTAGGGTGTAGCATTATTTAAGGGTCAATGAAAGAGATAAAGGTGTATGAGATCTGAAGATGTGACATGAAGGAGCCTTGAGTATTATTACGTAGATAAGATACAACTAAAGCATGCAGATATTTTGAATCAATGTCAAAATGAGTAGTAAAGCAGTGATGGTTGAAGAATATCATAGAGAGGAAGGATCACACTGAGCTGGAGTGGCTATGGAAAGGAAGCTTTGGGATGAACTTTAGCTGGATTTTTAGTGACTGGGAACATGAGATTACCCAGGTAAAGATGAATGGAATCTTTCAGTGTGCTTTTTTCCTCCCTCGTTACGTCTTCATTTCTTTCTTTTTCTATACACAAAGCTGAATAAAAGTAGATTTACTTGTAAATCAATTTTTTTTGAAAACTGGAAGGTACTAGTTTACTAAGAAGACTTAATGACCTAATTGTACTTTCTTTCAGTTTATGGTTCATAATTCATTCTTTTTATTTTAATTTTTTTGAGACAGAGTCTTGTTGTGTTGCCTAGGCTGGAGGGTAGTGGTGCAATTTCAGCTCACTGCAACCTCTGCCTCCCGAGTTCAAGTGATTCTCGTGTCTCAGCCTCTTGAGTAGCTGGGATTAGAGGCGTGCACTACCACACCCAGCTAGTTTTTGTATTTTTAGTAGAGACAGGATTTCACCATGTTAGTCAGGCTGGTCTCGAACTCCTGACCTCAAGTGATCCACCCACCTCAGCCTCCCAAAGTGCTGGGATTACAGGTGTGAGCCACCGTGCCTGGCCTCATAATTAATTATTTTAAATAAATACATACCTAATAAATTCTATGCTATGTATACTATATGCTATACATAGAAGCAAAACAGGTGTAATTTGTAGCTCATGGGGTTTACAGATTAAAAGGGGAGACAATATTAAATAAATAATTGTTAAAATATACTTGTGTTAAGTGCTAACAAGGAAAATGTTATGGGAGGGTACTCTAGAGTATGTTTCTAAATTCTGATGCTTCTTAATGACGACAATTGATCTATTGATGAGAACTGGCATTTCCCTTACAGAGAACTTTTTTCAGGTCCTTTAATAGGAAATATTAATTTCTTTAATAGGGAATATTGCTCTTCTTGTTTCATTGCTAACACACATGTTTACTGAAATGTATACTTGTTCTGCAAAAATGATGAGCTGTAGAGTCAGATGGGTATAGTTTTAAATCATGGCATGCTATTTCTCAATCTATTTCTTTGTCTGTGAGATGAATTAGTATAATGTGTACCAAGCAGCTGGCATATAGTAGCTGCTTAATGAGAAGTAGCTATAGTTATTGTTTTTATATTTATCATTAATTGTAGGAGCAGTTTTTGATTCAGAGCAGGCACTGATAGGGAAGTCCACGGATGCCAGGTAGGGATGAATTCCCACTAAATTAGAAAGATAGTAAAGGAAGAGAGTTTGAGTACTGTGGAAGACAGTCTTGGCCATTTTGTTCACTTGAATAGATTCAGTTTGTGACTACTCATATCCCCCTCATTCATATATGAAATTCTGATAATGGGGACATGATTTTGCTTTTGGAACAGGTGCAGAAGTATACTTCCGACATCATGTGACACAGATCAATCTAAGAAATGACAAATGGGAAGTATCCAAACAAACAGGCCCCCCCGAGCAGTTTGACCTTATTGTTCTGACAATGCCAGTTCCTCAGATTCTGCAGCTTCAAGGTGACATCACCAACTGTGAGTCTGTGTTTGCCATTTACCTGCCTCCGGGAATGGGATTTCTTTGATAAAGCATGAATTTGGTTTAACTCTCTTAGCAAAGGACAAGTGATAGACTCTCTCTGTCTTTAACACTGATACTTATGGCCCTCTTTGTGATATTAGTCTAGGCCAAAATGAAACCCATAGGATTTTTTTTAACTGGTTAAAAGTTGAACACTCTTCTTATTGCCCATGTCTTCAACAAGTCAGTATTGTTGATGGATATGCAATGATTTCGCCTAAAGGAAGAGCAGTGTTTATGGCCATTTTTAAGAAACAGTTTTTATGTACAAGTGCTTGCTTGGATCACCTCATTTCCTATGTTCTTGTTCTCTGGGTTGCTCTCTAATTGTATTTACTTCTGTTTGAGGCAGTTGCCTAGCCCTTTTGTGAATGAGAGGCATGAGAAGGAATGGGTGAGAGGGGATGAGTAATTTATGCTGAAGAAGCTAAAATTATGCCAGAAGAGCCAAATTTTAATAAAGCAACTAAAATTCAAAGAAAATTTTTATCCTTGCTAAGTCTTTGGATACTGCAATTGGTTTAGCATTATTCACTTTATCTTAGTAACCTTTGTTTAATTTCTTTTTGATATAAAATGTGGTGGTGAAAGTATGTGCAGAGGGTCTGATTTCCTATCTTTCCCCAAAGTAGACGCTAACCTACAACTACCAATTTAGAAATGTCATTTACCTGCTTATATCTTTCCTAGTTGACAGCAGCTATTTACTCTCAGAAGTGGGAATAGGGGAGGTGGTATAGCTAAGGTTTTCTTAGGTAGATACCTAAGATTTTCTTCATGATTCCTGAGGGTTCCTGGTGCACTGCCACCAGAAACATGTGATAAATCCACAGACATCTTTTTCCTGCCACTTTGACTCAGCACAGATGAGATGTAACTCAGTGCAGGTGGGATGGCAGTGGTAGAGTTTGCACTTCTACTGCCAGAAATGCTGGGGATAGTGGGAAGGAGAAGAGAGTACGCCAGTGGCCACATTAGAATTTCTACTGTACGTGTGAACAACGGGAGACTTTGGATTTATTCTAAGTCAACTCTGAGATCCAGAGGTGAACAGGATGACAGTGTCAGCAAAAGGCACATGTGAGGAGTCCGAAAGGTAAAATTCCTGTACTAAGTAGTAAGAAGGGATTCAGATATGAGAAACCAAAAAGGAATAAAGGTATTAAGTACTGGGGCAGGGAGGATACATTTCTCCAAGAAGTTGCACTTGCTCAGTTAGCTTTTGTTTCATCAGGCCAGTTTTCCTTACTGATACCGAAATCCTAGCTGAGAGTGTTCATTTTAATCACAGAAACTTAGAATTGAAAGGAGTCTTAGAGAGCATGTGGTCTCATCTTTTAGCCCTTGCATGAGTCCTCTTTTATTAAATCACTTTATTGAGTATGACTGACATATGAAAAGCTGTATATACTGTATACAGTGTGATGAATTTGGAGATAAGTATACATTCTTAAAACCATTATCACAATCTATGCCATCAACATATCCACATCACCTCCAAAAGCTTTTTCCCCTTTATAAGTTATTTTTTTCTTTTGTAATAAGAATGCTTAACATAGGCCAGGTGTGGTAGCTCACGCCTGTAATCCCAACACTTTGGGAGGGCGAGGCAGGAGGGTTGCTTGAGCCCAGGTGTTCGAGACCAGCCTGGAAAATATATTAAGACCTCATCTCTACAAAAAAAAAAGAAAAAAAAAAAAAAAAAAATGTAGCAAGGCATAGTGGCATGTGCCTGTAGTCCCAGCTACTCAAAAGGCTGAGGCAGGAAATTGCCTAAGCCTGGGAAGTCAAGGCTGCAGTAGGCCCTGATTGTGCCACTGCACTCTAGCCTGAGTGACAGAGCAAGACCCTGTCTCAAAAAAAAAAAAAAATATATATATATATATAACATATTAGATGTACTATTTTAACAAATTTTTAAGTATACAATATGATATTATTTACTATAGACACTAGGCTATACAGTGGATCTCCAGGATTTACTTATCTTGCATAATTGAAACCTTGAAACTTTTGACTAAAGTGCCTTGTTTTTCCTTCCCCAACCCCCTGGAATAAGAATTATATAAAAAGCCCTAGCTGGCAACAATCTGGTGAGAACATTACCTTTAGAATGGGTGTGCCCCATCAGTGTCATTGTGCCACTGCCCAAGACTTAAATTTCAAGAGAGCATCCTATTGACCTGACATGGGTTTTATTTGCAACCCGATGGCTAGGGAATTGCGGCATCTTGGATTATAATCCTGTTGCATTGCATGTAATCAGTGGGAGAAAGTAACACTTCAAAATAAATATAGGTACTGCTTATGAAGAGAACTTGTGTGCTGAGTAATCAAGAACAATGATGTTCACTGCATAGGTGTTCTTTAATATTTGTGAAATGAGTGAATGACCAATTGATCGACTGAATGAATGTGTTTCCAAAAGACCTTAGGAAAAACTTCACTGGTCCATATTACTTCTTCACCTTCTCTGTAAAATTCTCATTAATAGAATCCCATAATAGACTTTTTTCTTATTCTTTTCATTAAATGTGGATTTGTATGAAGAAGGAAAGAAATACTCTATATTGACAGGGGCCTTATGTTTTAATACTTTTTATGTAAATCTGAATTTGGCTTGCTAATACGTTGTTTAGGATTTTTGCATTCATGTCCATGAGAATGATTGAGCTGTAGTATTTTTTCTTGTATTAATTTCTCCAGTTGTTCGACATGGAGGTATGTAGGTCTCATATAATTATTTGGGCAATGTTTCCTGTTTCTGTTCAGGGGAAGCATTTTTATACAAGTTTGGTGTTATTTCTTTCCTAAATGTTTAGAAGAATTCACTAGTAAAACCATTTAGGCCTAGAGTTTTCTTTGTGGTAAAATTTTAAATTACAAATTCCATTTCTTAAAGGAATCTATTCAGATTTCTTTGTTTATTCTGTTTTTTCTCAAGGTGCTAGAATACCATGATATAATCTTTTTTTAATTTTTTTTTTAGCTTTTATTTTAGGTTTGGGGGTACATGTGAAGGTTTGTTACATAGGTGAACATGTGTCAGTCTTGTTCATATGGCTCGCCACTTATCCCAACGCCACTTATGAAATAGGGAGTCTTTTCCCTATTGCTTGTTTTTGCAGTAGACCTTATTTTTTAAAATACTAGTTGTTTATGCTTAAGTTCAGATCTGAAAATTGTATTTACATATTCCTTTGACTTTCATTAATTTAATTCGTTCTATATGTTCATTTTAATTCATTTACTTTTTATCACTTTACTTATTTTCAAATAGTATGTTGCTCTATATAAAGTTCTATTTACCAGGTAAGAAGGGTGTCCTGAATCAGGCCAGGAGTATGAATTGACATAGTTTTTGGTGCTCCAGCTGCTCTCTCTCTCCTTCATCCAGTGTGTCTGGGAAGTCCAATCTAATATCATATGCCCTAGAATTGAAATCTTAAATCTTTGAGAGAACTTCAGATTTCTCATAACTTCGCTGTTACAAAAAAAAAAAAAAAAGATGATATCTTGGTTTTTAAATTGGAATACTTTCCTGTTAAAACCTTAAATATCTAAAACATCTGTTTCAGTTCCTTTTCAGGTCTCTGAACAATATAGCTAAAAGCTGGGTTTTGCTTTCCTTAACAAAGGTTAAAACAAACGTTTCTTAGAAAAATTGCTTGGTAATAGCTATTCCCAGGCCTGACAAAAAGAACTAGAAGGGTACACCATATTATGTTCACATCAAGGGTCTGGGTGCAGAATGTTCACCGTGTCTCTGGTGGATTTTTGTTGCCATTGTTTTGGTTTATTTTTATGCATGCATCCAAATCACCTGGAAGACTTGTTAAAACACAGATTACTGGGCCACAGTTTGAGTTTCTGGTTGTATGGAGGTATGCATGGACAATTTGCACTTTTTACAAGTTTCTAGGTGATGCTGAAGAATCGGTGTAAAGCCACACTGTAAGAATTATTATTAATACCTTGCCTTAGCAAATCTACTTGTTTCTGGAACAGAGCAACTGATGTATCTTCAAAAAGTGACTCGCCTTGTAAACAAGTGATGCTATTGTGCAACCAGGGTTGAGAACTGCTGTCATAAAGCATCAGCCTGTCCAAACAATTTGTATCTCTTTTCCTCACATTTGCACCTTTGCCTTGCACGTATTGATTATATGAACCCATCGTGGATTACTCTTGAGTCTCTGTCTTATGCTCTTCCCTGCTTGGGACTTCTTGGCTCACCTCTTCCCTGACTTCTTCCCCAACCCCTAAGACACACCTCTTAATACAAAACAAAACAAAACAACACAACAGCAGCACACACACACACAAAGTAGCTTTAAGATATGTCACATACCATACAGTTCACCTATTTAAAATGTATAATTCAGTGGTTTTTAGTATAATAACTGATACAGGCAACCATTATCAATGCCTGTAATTAGTAAATTTTGGAATATTTTTGTCACCTCAAAAAGAAATTCTGTCCCCTTTAGCTATCACCCCCATCCCTCCATCCCCATCCCTGCCCCCAGCCCTAAGCAATCATTAATCTACTATCTGTCTCTATAGATTTCCCTATTACCTGGATTCCAGATAAAAGCTCATGATGGAGCTGGTGGCCCTCATCCTTAGCAAATTAATGCAGGAGCAGAAAACTAAATAAGCCATGTTCTTACTTTTTTGTGGCCCTGTTTTGCCACTATCTGCACAGATTTCACTTATTTTCTCCTGCTTTCATTATATCTCACTGACCGTGGCCCATCAGGTCATTGAATTGTAGAGGGTACCTCATCTTTCCTGAAGCCTATGAGTTATGACAGAGTCTGGTGATGGTGGACAAGGCTTCAGGGCTGTGGGATGGCAGTGGGTGTTGACATGCCTGTAGCTTTTTACTTTGTTGCACAGCTAACATTGACATTGGATTTGATAGAGAAATGGCTTCTTATGCCACTAATAG